CCCACCCATCCATCCATCCATCCATCCATCCATCCATCCATCCATCCATCCATCCATCCATCCATCCATCCATCCATCCATCCATCTATCTATCTATCTATCTATCTATCTATCTATCTATCTATCTACCAGCACCAAATATTGCAGTATCTATTGGCATGCTTCTTCTTCCTTTTTTTCTACTAGGATTTTGAATGGAACATTGGGTATATTAGGTTTCTCTTCCTGACTTTGCCCTTCCCTTAAAAAAAAATATGTGAGCTACAGAAAAAATTCAGAGTCACATCCGACATTTTTCTTTCTCCAGAGAACCTCCTGGGAAGAAAAGGTCAAGAAAGATTCTCTCTTTTTTAAAGGATATATCCACCAGCTCTTTGGAACCTCTCCGTGCTACTGGATTCAGTTATGTTTCTTCCATTTCTCTGTAATCTCTGTTTTAATTATTGTTGGCTACCTTGTAAACAAACTAAAAGAAAAATCAAGTAACCCTGTTCTGAGTAGTGATTCAAGATTCAGCTTAATTGTTCAAATACATCAGAGGAAGGAATTTCCTTTCCACTGAAGAGTGAGATCATTTGCTTCCACAGATGTATGATACTATCCTGGGAGTCGAGGAAAAAGATCTCTTCCTTTCATTCTTGTCTGACAAGCAGCTGTAAATTTTTATTTCAAAATCTAAAGTGGTGGAACCTGTAAGCTGTAGGAAAGCCTTGTCCTGTTCAGTGGCTCTCCTCTGCAAGCGAGAACTGCCACAAATGATAATAATAATAATAAAAGTAATAATACTTTATTGTCATTGTATGTATATACACAGTATACACATACAATGAAATTCACATAACACCCAGAGACTGACCCCAACACGCACACACACATGACAATCCCCAAACACCCCCCACCCACCAGAATTCCCCTCCACTAAAAATTACAAGCATCCATACAACAGACCAAGCAATACTGTCCAATAGCTTACTTATGGTGGTCCTTAAGTTCATTGTTAAGTGTAATTATAGCTCTGGGATAAAAACTATTCAGAAAACGTGTGGTCCAAGCTTTAATTGTTCTGTACTGTATCTTCTGCCAGAAGGCAACAGTTCACAAAGACTGTAAGCAGGATGGGAAGAGTCTCTGAGAATGTTGTGCAATTTCCTCAAACAGCAAAATGGGAAGATGTAGTCCAGGGCTGGTAGGTGGAGCCCAATGATATTCTGGGCAGTTTTAATGATTCTCTGTATGACAGTAATCTCATGCTGGTGTTACTCTTGGTGGAACAAATACATGTCATCTATTTAGAAGGCAGAGAAGAAAGATTATGTTCACATACACTTTACAAAGCCAAGAGGAAAAACTTGGGCTAACAAAGGAAAATCCATGTGTCTTTTAGTTAAGAGAGTCTGTGTTAAATGTCTATGGAGAGTTTCAGTCAACCAGGATATGGTTGTCCCAAAGGCACTGTTCAAAAGGCAATTGGATTTTCTTGGTTTTTTTCCTTGAAATTCTTCTCATCCAAGAAGCTTTTTCAGTTATGGCTGAATGGAAGGGATTGGAAGGATTTTTATTCTTGCAATCATCTAGTCATTAGCACTCTGAAAGACTGATGTTAGCTCTCTGAGGCATTGAGGCCACTTGGAGATCACCTGAATCAAAGTCCAAATGGGTGTGGAACCTTCTTTCAGACTGCTGAAAGGACTATGTTGTAGACAGAAGAGATATGATCTATGTTATTTTTGGGGATCCATAACAATCAGTTACTGAAATATATGTATATTCACTGGGGTTAGATCATAGCTGATGTAAAATATGTTGAATTTCGTGGAAGCCTCTGTTCTCTCCAGAAGGATATTTGGCTTCAGTAAGTTCATTTTCAAGATCTTTCATCTTCACCATAAACTATTAGGGATATGGTAGGGATAAAGATTCCTAGATTGATTCTAAGGGATTAATTAAGTAGTAGCTGAATAGTTGAGTTGCTGATTCATATATTTTGTTCCTTTCTTCTGCTAACAAAAAGTCTAAAATAGCAGAAGTAAGAAGCAGAAGAGGTGTTATTAATAAAAAGTAGTGTAGAATCTTGAAGAGAAATACTTCTAATAGAGACTAATTGTTAAGCATTCCCTGTATATTTTGAGCTAATGACTCGATTAATTAGGTGACTATCACTATGTCTTTTTATCATTCAACATCCATAGTAGTCCAACAGCTTTACTGTAGATAACTAAAATGCCCCAACAGTTGTATTTTTCTTCTTTCTTTCAGTTCTTCTTATGTTATAAAAACAGACAGTGGAAAAGAAACAAGAAAATCCAAATATTAGGCAGGTGTTTCATACATGAAGCTTCAAAATTAGTCCCAAGACAGCACTTGTAGAGTAACTGCATTTGTCAGTGATATATCTTGTCATCACCAGATTACATCTAGCATTATGATACTAAAAGCAAAGGTTGAACCCTACTTGAGTTCTGAAAACATGAAAACAGTTCCTAGTATATCTCTGACCAAGGATAAAATGCACATGTTTCTAGATTCCTAGTTGGACAGAGAGTAGACAAGAGTAATTGTGGGCAATGGTTGTTCATTTTTTATTCTTTGTGAACTGATGAACATCCTTTCACCAGGATGGTTTGCCAGTAACTACTTCTTTGAATTCTTATAAGATCATGCATGTATCATCTAGCAATCTCATTTTCTGTTCATCATCTTCAATTTTTCTGAACATTATGTCTTCTTCAGTAGCTTTTGTTTTTACATTATGATGGTCATGGCCCCATCAGATCCTGGTTCAGAGGAGGAGGAAGAGTGGGAACTGGGACTGTTTGACAGGGATGTACATTTCCCTTGGCATATTTGGAGAAGCCAGGGGGCAAGGAGGATGCTGTCCCAGGCCCTCAGACTTTGTGGGAGGTATTTGACCAGACAGAGAGCTGTCTACCTTCACAGATATAGGAAGCAGAGATGGCATTCAGCAGGTTCTGACAAGTTCTGGAGAACTGGTAGCATAAATTTTGAGTAGTTTGGAGAACTGGTAGCATAAATTTTGAGTAGTTCAGAATACCACTTCTGACTGGCCCCACCCTCATCTATTCTCTGCCTCCCAAGTCCCAGCTGATTGGCTGGGTCTTCTTTTGTTGCCCTGCACAGGAGAATGGAGCTGGAAATCAGGTTAATGGGTTGGGGAGGGAATGGGATTTTACAGTATCCTTCCCCTGCCATGCCCACCAAGCCATGTCCACC